ATTTATTTCTCAATTATATAAATAAAAAATCTTTTTTTTCGAATAAAAGAATCAAGAAAACAATAGTTAACAGTTCAGTGTTGACCATACATCTATCGCATATGGAAGTTTCTAAAAATAACTTTTGAATAAAGGTCTACCCTTTACTATTACTATTGTTTTGAAACTTTGTTACGCCCTTACATCAAATCGCTAACAAATACGCCAAATTTATAAAAAAATTATTACTTCCTTTCTACTAACGCTAATATGTATGATCTACAGAAAACTTCTCGTTTTAACAAATCTATGGGACCAATCATCTAAATTCGTTGAAACGAAACAACAAATTTACTACTGCCTCTTTCTTGCACCTAGACGAACCTGTAAGCATACTTAATGATACTATATGACTGTAAATAAATGAATAAATATGGCACTTTTACAAAGCTCTTGAGCATTTATAAAGTTCCTTGTGATCGAGTTATTACCCTTGTTTACATTTATTTGCTGATTGCAAACTCGCTTTGGTTTATTTGGAAACCAACTTACGTAGCTTGCTTAACAGCCATACGTTTACGATTTACAATAATACACCAGTATTTCCGATTAACCTTTGGACGATGCTTCATTAACACTCGCTAGTTAACCAACGTTAGTCCTAACTGCTCACTAAAGCAAATAAACGTACTTTTTACCAAAACTCCACAATTGTTACCTATCAAAACGCTTTAAATAATGAAAATAAAGACAATGTTTTTTATTTTTAAAAGTTTATTAACGAATAATTTTATTTAATAAAAATACAAAGTACCTTAAACAACCAATCAATATTGATATTATTATTGTTTACACAATAATTTGATGATAATTATAAAAAGCTTTTGCGTACATTGACCCTGGAACATAAGAAACGTTCGAGTTTAGTAATAAATGAGTATGTGGGAAGTGGATTTGTATCCAGTAAAAGAAAGTTTGGCTCTTTGGGAGCAACTAATGAAACAAAGGAGAGATTGGGAGAAAAATATAACAAAAAAGATCTTGGAA